ATCAACATATCACATTGTAGCTGTTTTCCACTCTTAAGAAAAAAACAGAACTACATTCTTAATTAGTACTGTTGCTGCATCTTAGCCAGCTGTAATATCAGTACTTTAAAAGGCTCTTTGGATTTGTCTTGGATTTGCTTAGTTTGAATGTTTTGTAGGGATCTTCTCTCAGGATAACATTATTGGTGTGGATTACTCTTTCCAGAGCCTCTTTATCCAATTCTGGTGGATATTCTGTTCCATCTACCAGACACATCACTTCCTGCTTACAGTTCTCCATTTATGTTCAGCCTCATTCACAGTGAGAGCTCCATGATAAACTTTAGAGTCCTTTTGTATTTTTTTGATCAATAACAAAAAAGTAATTTCAGACTAATATAAAATGTCAGATTAAATACTTCAAAGGAAAGCAAACAATTGTCTATCTAAATGCTAATTAACATGAGACATTTTCCTACTGTTCCAGGTACTGTCTTCCACTAACAGGTGAGTTTTGAGGGACTAGAAAAAGATCATGGTACAAACAGCTTTAGCTTAGGAAAAAAAATATCTCTCACACCAAAAGTCTTAAAGGGTTTCATAAAACAAATTTTCATAATTCAGCTTTTTCTAAGCTTTTCATGCTTACCAGACGGGACTTTTGCATTATTATTATTATTATTTGCATTAACTATGCAAAACATCATCGTGGTTCACAGCAATATCAGACATCAGAAGGGAAACTCATCCTGCCATTATTCATACTTTTTTGAAGCTGTAACATCTTCCCCCCCCAATATACGTTGTAGCAATTTTGTCCAAAACAAATTATCTGTATTGCATACTTGCTCAGCATGACAGGTTCCTTTAAAGTAACCATTAGGAGATTATAGGTTTATCCTGGAAACGTCTTTCCTACGCTGTGCTTAGTATCAGTATAGTGATAAAACCCTCTTAAAATAGTTCTAGGGTCCAGACAACAATCAATTGTATGCAATAGTCTTTTGATTTTTATTTATCAATGACTTTAGTGATTTCAGGCCTTTGAAGACCAGGAATGAGTGGTAGATTTAGGCTAAATTATTTCTGCCTTTAAAAGTTATGGCAGCCTGTACATAATGTCCTATCTCAACTTCAACAGCCAAACTATTTGGAACGTTATATTGCTGTTTGCCTTTCTGAATAAAAAGTATGAGAAGCAAATACATTAAAAACCCCACTGCAATTTAAAATTGTGTAAATCAGAACTTTAAAAAAAAAAAAAAGAAAAAGAATTCATATAATTTTTTCTACTGTCATTTGAAACAGATTTCCCACAGAGATGCCTTTTAACATAGTTTTGATAATAATAAAACAGATTGCTTGATTTCACAATCTTTGATGAATGACAATAACTTTTCAGAATTAGAGACACACATAAGACAAATACAATCCCCACACACCTTACAGAGTAATAGTTTCTTATCCCATGGGAGTGGATATATCCCAACCAACAAGACATTTTCATAAAATCTCAGCAGCAGTGTTAACAGCTTGAACCAGCAACAAAAGTAATTATTCCCTGTCTACCTTCACAGAAGTTGCAGTTCCTCTTCACTGGTCTAGGAATACTGCATGAAAACAGCACGAGCACCTCTTGCAGAGGTGTTAAGGCTTTACTGCTCACTCCAAAACCTATGAGCCTTGGAAGGTTCAATGGTTTATTATTATTATTATTATTATTATTATTATTAAGAATCCCACCAGATGGCAGTAGCATGTCTCCCCAGCAAAACAGGGAGCACTTCTGCAAAGGACAGCTCCTTATTCTTAGAATATACACAAGACTTCCAAAAATCAGATAGACAATTTGAAACATGGGGCACAAACAGAGTTTGTCGCTGAACAAAATTCCAGGTTTTTTTCAACACTTTAAGAATGCGTTAACAGTGAATACTCAAAGAGCAAATTGCTCTGTTTTCAGCAAATTAGGTATGCAACTTGGTTCGTGGCCATTTGCCAAACTAGACTGCACTTAAGTAAATCTGCAGAACCTGAGGGAAGGTACCTACACATCTTTTCCTGCTTCAGTAGCTTTCCCCCGCCCCCCCTTTTGTCACAGTTCAGAAACGCCAAGCTTTGGTATTGCATTAATATGTACATCTTTATGTTAAAGCACAAAGAAAATGGATAAATATAGCAATTTAATGCCGACTGTTGAAGAGATTCTTTTCTACTTTGCCAGCTTGGGTTAAGTTCACTTTAAAATCTACATGTAGTCAAAGGAGATGACATGCCAAGGATAGTTGATTTAGAACGTAATGGTGACTAGATGAGCAAGGATACAGTTTGTGTATACAAATACTAGTGGCAGCAATACAAGCATGCATGAGTTAATAATGAAAATGCTGAAGCACGATGCTTTGGCTCTTCATGAGTGAAAAACTCCAGCAGCACATTAGCTACCCCAAAACATCATAAAGTACCAGACAAATGAACTAATGACAAATGGTAATTCAACTGCCAAGTCAAAATCTCTCTCAGCTAACGGGAAACTCAATACCACACACTACTGATTACTTATTTGACGAGCTGAACTTAACTGCAGGATAAGTTGTATCTTTCTAGACAATGCAATGACACATCTGAGTAGCAAGATGAAAGACTACTTCTTCAAATACTCAAACTGTCTGTAGAATAACATCCATTTCCCTCAGAAGTACAGATACGAACTTTTCAGTTATCTATTAGTGCCAATACGTGCTCAGAAAGAGATACAGAGAAGCGACAGAATCCTTATTTAAAATTAGCTTAGTCCTTACATTACTGAAAATGCTGTTACACTTGTACCAAAGTATACATTTTTCATGTCTAAGTCAACTTAAACTATAAATATCTAAGTCAATGTTTATGTTCAGTTGCATTATCTCACATAGCTAAAATTAAATTACACAGGCATTCTTTCACATTTTGAATGAAATCTAAAATTCAGTTTAATTATTGCTTGCAGACTCTTAAATTCAGTCTGCATTCACTTGCAGAAGTTAACACGAAATGCCAAGAGCCTAACAGTGACCACTGAATTCAAATATATGTGAGCAAAGAGGAACTGAATTTCAGCCAATTGCATTCTCAGTCTGCGTAGCCTTACAGCTTTACCAAAGGAGATCTGACCTCCAAGCTTCTGCTTTTCTTTTATTCAACAACCTCCCTCTTTTCTTTTTTTTTTCCCCTAAGCTGTTGTTATCTTGGAAGTCGAAGCTGTAGTTACAACTTTGCAAGCCTAGTCCCGCTAGTGGCAATTCCTGCTTGCACGGACGCAGTTGCACAGTCAGGGGTCGCGGGATGGATGGACGCTTTTGGCACCATTCTACCTGATGTCAGTCAAGAGCAGATCCTTCTGCTTTCCACACTTCTTTTTTTTTCCCCTCAGCATTCTTAACGATTTTATATTTAAATATGCAAGCTTGACCTTTTAGTCTACTGAGTATTATGAAAGCAGATCTCTCTCTGCACCTTATTTTTTGGCAAATAAAACAGAGAAAATAAAGACCTAAGAAATATATACAGGTAAGCAAAATGCTTGTAGAAATGATAAGAAGGTCTGGTCTTACATAACAATCTAAATTTAAGCAAGCCTGTAACAATTAAGTTAAAAAAACTCCACACTTTATCAAAAAGTATACGAACAGATGGAAATAATCTTTAGACAAATTTTTACAGCAGATCTCTTGTCAGTTTTCATTCTTTGATATCAATTTTTTTATACTGTACCACAGCAAGAACACAGCAGTGCTAAGTGTACAACAGCACTCCTCTGACTTTGAAAACTTAGCGTTTAAATTAACTCCCTAGGCCTTCTGAGTTAAGGGACACAAGATCAGCTGTAACATTAACCTACGCTTATTTGTGCAGCTTGTTCAGCCTACTTGGAAAACATGATTTTATTACAAACACTGGTCTGTTTATGAGTGACCAACTTTAAGGGCTGGGACGAAGGAATAACATGTCTTCCTCTTCTGAGGCCTGTCCTGCAAAAGCACTTTGCCACTGTATGCTGGTACAGACTGCAACCCCAGTCACATAATACTTCCATCTCAGAAAAATTCAAGTACAGACAGTAGCTAAAGCAAAACTCCTTAAGTACCACAGAGAAAGCCTTGCCGACTGAACGTCTGTAGGGACGCGACACAGTTGCACACTTCAAACTTTGTATTTGTGATACAGGAAGTGTGCTGCAACTCGCTTGCTCTGAAAAACACCACCAAGGCATCTTTCATGTTTCTAATAAACATTTCAGAATATGGTAAACTGACAACCATTTATTAAAAAAAAAAAACAACAAAAAACCACACCAGTTTTGCTCCGGTGATCCTGAAGGGCAATAACTACTTACATACATTGTATTAAGGTGGTCACAAAATATATTAGAAGATATTATGCTCCACTGACAGAACCCTCTGAAATAGCGGCTGGGGGAATAAAAGGACTGTAGGCAGTACTACAGTAAGACAGAAAATCCCATTTACATTTATGAGAGGAGAGCAAAGTTCAGATATTCTGTTTCAGGTAGCGTATAGCATACTACCGCAGGTCAAACAGTCTCCTAGACAAAGATCTTGACAGGTGACTGAAGAAGGAAGACATTTTCATATGCTTTTAATTTCTAACTCTTAAGTCAGGTCAAAACATACATTCTAATGCTCATTTGTTAACCTGAAACTTTAGGAAGAGCAGCTCAGCTACACAACATACTTATTCTAACCAAATGCGTAGAAGGTATATAAACATGTTGCACTTGTCTCAAAAGAGACTGATGGTGTGGCCTGTTAGTCAGAGGTTGCTCTTCACCACTCTAAACCTCGTTCTGCCAACACAAACAAGTGAAGCCAACTTTCTAAGAACGGAGAAGAACCAGTAAAAAATTTTGTAGTAAGCAGCTGTCTTGTATTCTGATTCAAATGACAAAACCAAGAATGAATTATGATCTGGTAAGAAATGAAAAGGAAAAATCGGTTCATTTTTTTTTTTTCTTTACTCACCAGACAACACCAAAGGCTCCATATCCAATAGGTCTGTCCGGCTCAATGTCCAGTTGCTGTTGTGGATGTTGTGAGTGCTGATGATGGTGCGCTTTAACTGCAGCAGCTGCTGCAGCTTGTACCTGAGCTGGGGCTGCTGCAGCTGGTCCAGGGGCCTGACCCGGTGCCGGTGATGGGAAATATGGCTGCTGCTGCCCTGGGTTTAACATTGCCGCGGCTGCGGCCGCAGCTGCCGCGGCCGCAGCTGCCGAAGAGGCATGCTGCTGTACGGGATGTACCGCAGCTGCAGAGCCTGGATGCAAGTGATGTTGAGGGTGGTGGTGGTGATGGAGGTGAGGAGGAGGGAGGTGAGGAAGGTGGTGGTGATGGTGGTGGTGGTGACCTGCTGCTGCTGCAGACGTACCGCCATTGTAAGCCGCCATCATTTTTGCGTTGGCTGTTGTGCCACAAAGAGACATTCAAAAAAATGCCCTTTGATTGGATAACAACTGGGTCAAGCTGTCATTTGGCCATAAAAATGAAATCTGCTACACTTTAATAGAAGTTGGGTTTCATCATACACGGCCCACCTTTAAAAACATTGAGCTCGACTGGCCTTATCTCTTTGCGAAGCCAAACAATTTGGAGAATCTCTTCATGTGTGCGTGAGCCAGAGTGCACGAACCCTCTTCCCCCAAGAGTCCAGCTGTGGTTGGCTACTGAATCTCCATCCTCGGGCAACTGGGTTGGGTTTTGTTTGTTTTTTTCCTTCGCTTTTCCTTTTTTTTTCCTTTCTTTTCTTTTTTTTTTTTTTTTTTTTTTTTTACAAAAAAAAGAAATACAGCGATCAATCCCCCTTCCCTCCAGAAGGAGGATCTGGAGTCTCTCCCCTGGAATACCCTGAGAGGACTGACGAGTCTATCCCTTCCATTCCCACATCCTCTCCATTTATCTCCTCGAAACCTCCCTGAGCGCCCAGGCACCTCCTACATAGCTCCCTCCTTTCAGGCACCTGCTCCCTCAAATATAGCAAAAAAAAAAAAACCAAAACCCCCCAAAACTCGGGAGTTTGCAACTTTTCCTTGAAGGCCTGAAACACACACAAGCACCTAGAAAAAGTGAAGAGGGACGGCAGGAGCGAGGAGAGGAGGGCGAGGGTGGGGGGGGCGGGGTGGAGGGCAAAAGGGGATGAAGAGAAGATAAAAATAGACGGAGGAAGAGAAAAGGGACGGGGCAGGAAAGAAAACAACGGCGGAGCGAGACA